AGTTCTCATTTCAAATATATTCTTTCCTAACTCTACTCTAGACATTAGGATCATCATTGTTCAATACTCATGTAAACATTACATATATACTTCAAACCCATTCTAGTTTTCACTCTTTCTTTAAAATACTTTAGCTAATTGCAAAACTAAAGGCAAGGTAGTGGCTAACATATATACAAGTCAGATAATTACAATATAACTAACATAGTTTCGATCTTTCTTAAACACAACTTAAAAGAGCAAAGAACATTACCCAATGCTTCACAGATAATTACATACTCACCTCATTACTCAATAACTCATTATTTTCTAAAAGTAGCAGTTAAGCACATGGTATAGACACTAAACATGGTTCAATGTTTGCAATATTATTTGCCAAACCAAGATCCTTACTTTTGTTTTTTTTTTTTTTACCTAAAACTGTTAGTGCATGGCCGCATCTTCATCTCTGTTGTCATAATCATGCATGACTAATTGACCTATGGTTTTAAGACTTTATTCTTAGGACTTTGTTCTTCCTAGAATGGTGCAAGTTGATGCACATTATAGTTAATTGATTTCAATAACATACAACATAAATCTTTCTGCCCTAAAATCCTATAAAATGACACTTTACTATGGCCATGTTAAATTGAAACTTACAAACACTTTCTCCATAGTTCATTGTGACATTCATCACTTCCCACCTTCCATAATTCCTAATCAAATGACTGCAAAATGGTTAACTGGATATGAAAAATTCCTTTAGATAATATAAACGATGCAATGGAAATTACATGTAAATTATGCACTTGTCCTCTACCATTATAGCCCGCTATTGCACACCGGTTATCAAGCATCAAGGATTCAGCACTGGGGTCACAATGCTTGCCAAAACCCTAAACTTTATTTAACAATTAGTAAACATTAGTAATGGATAACTATCTAATTCAAAAACAACAATCATAAACTCTATATTTTTTTCATATCGAAATTAAAAAGGATTTTCACACCAATAACTTAAATTCTACATCTATGGTATGGGTAATAGCATAGACACTCTTCACCTAAGAAGCCCAACAATCAATCGTCTCTTTTCTACCATAAATTGCAACTAGGTGATGAATCTCCATGGATCTACTACACCCTTTCTTCCACTTGATTGTTTATCTTGTAGCAATCAAAGAATCAAAGTATCTTACCTCAAAAAAAAATTTAAAAAAAAAAACATAAAAGCAAGTTAACGTTGAAGGAGGGGACGATGGTGCATCAAAAAGGAAAATGGAGAATTAGAGCAGTCGAGGTTTAGGATTGCTATCTGTTTGGATGCATAAATAGGCTTTGTTTGAATGTATACATAGGCCAAAGTCTGTGGATGACTACAAGCTTAACACTATAAGAAAATGTTTATTTTAGAGAGTGTACACCTAGCGGATGTTGAATCGACAGGTGCAAAAATCATTTTCCTTAAATTAAATCTTGTAAATAATAAGAATAATGATAAATGGAATCAAAATTTAAGATTAAAACTTGAGATCAATACCACATTATTTAAAATATTAAAATATAGATTTTATATTATTTAATGATTAATTTTTTTATTTTTTTTATTTTTTTTTAAACTCCTAATATTATATGCATTAACTAATTTAATAACGTGGCATAAGCCACTTTATTAGTCTCAAAATTTCGTCTTTTCTATCATTACTCAAATAGTAAACAAAGGATCCTATTTTGCTAATTTTTTGCACCTTCAATTTTTGTATCATTCAACTAGAAGACAAGGAATTTCTGCGTCAATTTTTTTTCTTCTATAATTTTAATCTTAATTTAATTTTAGCAAAAGGAGCTCTTGTCTAATTACATAATTTTCAATAAATTTCCACCTCATTTTTAAAAAATTATTTAGTTTCAATTAACATTATTTAGTTATTAGCCCATAATTATATACAATAAATTTTAAGGAGAAGTTAAATATTTTTATTAAAACGAACCAATTTTGTTGTAAGAGGTACTCTTAAGTTTCATTTGAGCATGTTGAGATGTGATGTGAGTTTAATTTTATTTATTTTTTTATCACAAAAATATATAAAATATTAAAAAAGAATATATATCAGTTT